TCCACAATAAGCTTTACTGAATTGTTTGAAATCGTTTGTAAACATTTATTACAAAATAATTCTGACAAGAAAATGAAGAAATATGCGTTGTGTACAGTCACCATCAACAAAATAACAGGAGTAATATAGCACTATTTTCACATCTTTGAACTGATGTAACTAGGTTTGGACTGTGTTTTTGACATAAGACCTCGTATATATTTTTGTTTGTAATATTATTTTGCATTAGTTTTTCCACATCCGATCAACTGCCGCGAAAAAATGAAAAGGCACCACGCTCCATACAAATTTGGACATTATCATTTAGAGGATGATTTAAACAATTTTTAACGGGTTTCTAGATTCGACTTAAATTTTTATTTTGTTGGTCTACTACTTACTTCTTTTTACATAAGTATTACGAAAATCACATTTTTTTTATTAAAGGTACATATTTGCTAGAAATATGTTACAACTTTTTTGTAAAAAAATTGGTTTAGGGAACAGAGAGTATAGTTCCCTAAGATCGGAAAAGGAGGATCCTCCGACCAGGCGAGGTGATCGTGCCTGGCGGGGCTGTCTGCCCAACAGTTGTTCGTTGGGATTTTCTATCCGTGTTAAATCGAATGTAAACTTCGCATGTGCGATGTAGGATTTTTATGACGTCATCCGTTGGAATGTACCATGTGTCGCCACACTAGAAATCAATCAACAAGTCAAAGCATTTATTTGCATTAATCCTCAAACAGACAATTTTGTTACATCAAAATTGAATTCTCCATTTTTTTGTCCATCAATGAAGCTAGGTGTTTATTGTGGTGTAATTTAAACTTCTTGACTTAAAAAAAACTAAATGAGTTCAGACTTAGCTAGATATTTAGAACTAGCTACTTCCGCGCGGTTTCACACGTTCAGCTCAGCTCCTATTGGTCGTAGCGTGATGTTTTATAGCCTATAGCCATCCTCGATAAATGTGCTATCCAATGCAAAAAGAATTATTCAAATCAGACTTATAGTTACGGAGATTAACAAAAAAACAAACTCTTCCGCTTTATATAATAGTATAAGATTACCTCATAGAAAGTAAAGTTCCTTTCCAGACAAATCTACATTGAAATTGTCAGAGCCATGCTTCGGCACGAATGGGCCGGCTCCATGTGATACGACGGCCTCACAGAAAACCGACGTGTGAAACAATACTTGCGTTGTATTTCGTCGTGTGAGTGAGGATACCAGAGGCCCAATTATCCCTTTCTCCAATCCCCCAATCCCCCAATCCCCGAATCCCAACAATCCTCAAATTCTTAACCTCCATATGGCTAGTAACGCACTTGGAACACCTTTGGTGTCCGGGTGCCGATTGCTTACCATCAGGTGATCCGTCTGCTTGTTTCCGGGTTCATTCCATTAAAAAGTCATCATCAAGGACATGACTACAAAATTCCCTTACACACAAATATCACATTCACAGAATATTATACACATAATCCTGTCCTTATTTACCTCTATAAATCTAAACAGCTAACTATTTGCTACCACATATTAATGTTGTATTAACAACACATTAACTCGGGACCCGTTTTAATTATTAATTGAACCGAACCGAATTATTATAGCTACGGTGGAATATTCGTACACATCAAACTACCTATATACAACCATTTTATTATGATCTCCATTTGTATAATCTTTCCAAATATTCGACTGTCAGTTTATACTGGATTTGTAGGTCTTGATGTATCATTATCTTATACTCTTGTACTATTATATAAGGCGGAAGAGTTTGTTTGTTTGTTTGAAGGCGCTAATCTCCGTATCTACAAGTCCGATTTCAATAATTCTTTTTGTGTTGGATAGCGCATTTATCGAAGGTGGCTATAGGCTATAAAACATTACACTACGACTAATAGGAGCTGAGCAGAGTGAGTGAAACCGCGCGGAAGTAGCTAGTCTGTTCATATACGGGATCATGTTTGAGCGCTCAATTCCCTAATTAGTGAGAGTACAATATTTTGTTTCAATTTGATATGGAATACTCACATCACTATCTAATTAGAATTTTTAATTAAATATTATTTTACTTATCATTTCGTTCAGTTTGCTTTTTAGTTTTTTATACAAATTTTGTGTAAAGGGTTGCGATAACGAGTTTTAAGTTATATTTAGAAACTGTACGTAAAAAGTGTACAGAATTTTTTATCCATTTACAAAAGTGTTCAGTTTCAAAGTAACAATTATTATAGTTATTAGATTGTTATTATGACTGTTATAAGACTTACATAATAAGAACTTTAGGTGGTATAACCGTGCCTTTTTTGAAGGGGAAAATCACCTAATGACTTTTCCAGCCTTGAGTGGGACTAAAAACCACCCCGATCTTACTCCTGTTCTTCGAGCGGTAGCCCCGGCAACCCGTTAAGTCTTCCACGGTTCCGTATCGTTATTTTGTTTGACGTCAATCATTTCGACTGCCTCGTTGGCCGAGATGTCGCAAATGCGACTGCCGGGCGAGGGGTCTCGGGTTCGATCCCCGGGTCGGGCAAAGTATTACTGGGTTTTTAAAAAAAATCTCAGTAGTAGCACGGAGTCTGGAAATGTGCCCGGTATATGGCAATAGGCTCACCCCCTATTACCTACATGGGACTCATAACATTAATAGTAAAAAGTGGGTGTTACCTCTGTGTGCACCTCTGCCTACCCCTTCGGGGATAAAAGGCGTGATGTTATGTTAAATGTGTCAATCATTTCGACTTCAATCGTATACAGTTAAGAACAACAACTAAAGAAATGCGAATGTCTCAAACATCTGTAGGTATATTATTATACAAAATACATAATACATGTTGTACATGTATTTTACTCCTTTGAGGCTTCCACAAGCGCCATGTCGTGTTATGTAGAATGTATTTCATTTCACATTCGGCAGCCATGTTCGCGCTTCATCAGTATTTCATATCTGGGTCGCCAGGTGGCGCTGCAGCATATGTACTTATTTATTATTCCGTGTGTAAAACAATGTTTAGAGCGCGCATTATTTACTTTTACTTTCAGTTTGTTTTGCTTTGAAACGTGGGTGCTACATTAAATATGGGTGGGTAGTATGGACCTATACCTCTGCTTGCTTCTTTACGGAATCAAGGTCGTGATGTTATGATTAACTGTTTAATGTTTAGGTATACCTAGCTGTACGCTATATTACGATAAAGATTTTTGAAATTTACGTTATCGTCATCTTCATATCATCGCTTACCACCAGGCGAGATAGTGATCAAACGTGAACTTATAAAGTATTAAAAAAAAACTTTTAGAGACCTAGTTTCACAATTTTTAATTTATCAGTTTTTAAGCAAAGCTTTGCGAAATATTTCGTATGGAAAATACATCAAATTATACATGAGTTACGACTAAGAGAAACACATTGTGAAATAGGCCTTTCTTAGGAATATTTCTAACTTTCAGGATATTTTTCACTCAACATTTACATTTAGTTACGACTATATTATGATGCAGTTATTAAACACAATTATTAATTAACTCAGTAATAATTCAATCTATCTTCATAAGCAGAGGTACCAATGTAACATCCACTTTTCACTATTTATGTTATGAGTCCCATGTAATAGGGGGTGAGTCTATTGCCATATACCGGGCACAATTCCAGAATCTCTCTTCATTTACCATTTAATTAAACGAACTTGTTTACTTGTTCATGTCGACGCGTTCTACAGTCCGTCGCGAAGTTTTGGTCAAAATTAATGTAGGAAATTAAGTATATTTGTTCTCAACTTGTCCGAAACATAAATTAATATTCATTGAAGATTGATCGAGTTTCTTGGTTGTTTGTTAAAGTTTCACTGGGGGTATTAACATAGACCTTTTTGCTTTTCTGTAAATATTTGTTCTAAACATGTTTACTTGCTGGTTATTATTTCAGTCACTACGATTTTTGTGGCAATTTTGCATAGAAACCTAACTATGTTAGGTAGCATATAAATTCAGTCAAGATTTCTTGGATAAGGTGTAATAATATGAGCTTCTAGCGTGGCTTGAAACTAGTCGAGTTTCTCGTCAAACAGTAACGTAAGCCGAAAACATAATAATTAAGGTTCAATAATATCCAAAAATTAAATTTGTAATTTTATTATTATTAATTTTATTACAACAACAAGTGCGTTGTCGGACTTCTAGAATAGGGTGCGCGATTTCTGTAAGGTTTTAAAACGTACATATTTATTTGAAGGATGGAACAACTGCTACTGATTATCCCTCCGTAGATTAACTCGTCGAGTACCGGTTTTGTAGACACAATTATAGAACAATAGGTTGCGGTCACCGGTGACCGCTTGGTGTCTGACAGTTTAATATAGATAAAAAATCGATAAACTCAGCGTTCAGTTTATTTCTTTTTCACAGTATCGGGAACAAGGTCTTTCTGCATTTCTATATTCTACAAACAAAAGGAAATTTAATTTGGGCGTTAATGTATTTTAAACGACTTTGTATTCAGGGTCTAATGCGCAGGAATTGGCTTTATACATAACAGGGGTACTGGCAGCGTCATGCTCATTATACCCTAATGTAGAAGTTAGTGTAAAGTATCGATTTTCCTTCACAAAAAATATATTTTTGATTTTATGTTATGGAATAGGACGCAAACGAGCAGACGATCACCTGATGGTAAGCGATCAGCGCCGCCCATGGACACCCACTACACCAGACAAGTCACAGGTGCGTTGCCGGATAATGTTGATGTTTCTTTAAATCTTCCAAAAAAAAGTCTTGCCAAATTCACTATGAAAGTTCGCTTTAGATATAAGCCCATAAGTGTACCTAACTATAAGGTGCCTATAAGTTCTAATGCTCACCAAGGACTCATGTAGGTATGTCATTTTCACACATTCATGTATAACATGTATTGTTCATGACATAAACTTTTCTGGCTACTCTGCCAATTGTTCGTAGGATCATAACAGGCTATAAACAAAAAGGTTTTTGTCCTTACAAATAAAAATATGACTCACACATGCTCATCCTTAGCGCTGGGCACGAAATATTTGCACTCTCTTTTCTGAAACGTGCTCTCGATCCAGCTGCGAGTAGTTTTCTGAAACAAACAAACAATGTGATTTAAGTGGTTTGTGTAAATAAACACCTGGATTTGTGAACGAATGGTTCGATGCGAATTGTTTCCAGTTTATGTTTTTTGTGCCACGTTTCGACTGGATAAATACGAGTTGTGATGAATGCTAGAAGTGAAGGAATTGAATGTTTTAGTTTTATTATTTGTTAAAATATTAGCTATTACGTAACGTGTTATAAATTATCATCATTACTCGAACTAAAGACTAGTCACTGTAGATCGGTCATAATTACCGATACGGCCCAATAAGGCCTGATACGGAGTCGCGGAGAACCTAACGGGTAACTGAGGCTCCGGCTCGACATGCAGAAGAAGGAACGGGGTGGTTTTTAGTCAGTAAGAGTCTGACACTCCCTCCCGCCTCACTCAGGCGGGAGCAGTCATTCGATGAATTTCCACGCTTAAAAAAAATAAAAAAAAATATTGGTTCAATTGTTAGCTATTATGTAACTCAGGGTTATAAATTGTCATCACTACTCGAACTAAAGACTAATCACTGTACATCGGTCATAATTACCGATACAATACAGCTGAAAGTGAAAAATATAACGTTTTTACCTAATTTTTACCTGAGTTCAAGGCTACGCCTCTAAGCTCAACAGTCGCATTTGCTACCATAACACTAACGAGACACCTTTTTACTTTATCTTGCCATCTCATAACATGGGAGGGAGCGCTATAAAAAGGAGTTATCAAAATTTCCTGCCAGCTGAACTTAATACTCGCCCACATTCCTCTGGAGGAACTTTCGTGAAACTATAATGGCCATCTACTATGGATGGCTGAGGCGAAAATTGTTTTACTGGCTTTCGGCGGCCATTTTGGCCGGAAAACTTATCTCGCGGGAAGCCCGGGCGTAATAAGAGCTTTAAGTTAACTGCACTAAGTATATTTTGGGTGAAAGAATTCGTGAAATATTTTTTTCGGTGAGATAATATTAAGACTGCTTGGTTTGCGAATTGGTCCCAAGAGCGATTGCCGAATAACACGTTTACGGGAACATTACCTACCTATAACTGGTTCTCAAATTGTACCCGATGTATAAAAAGGTTCGCCCCCATTACATAAGAATTACATACATTATGTGAACAGATATGAGTATTCGCCATTAGAAAATGATGTTCTGGCCATTTCAAATACTTTGCCGAATCAGTAAACCAAGCTGGAAAGAACCTGTTGATCTCCAATCACACATGATCAGCTCAATAGTATCTATACCAGCGAGGAAGTAAGGAAGGAACAAGGTAAAATGTAACAACAAAATGTATCGAAGGTATTTGTAACTTTCCTCTTCGGTCGAATGAACCTCTTAACTTCTTTTATACAATAACGAATCTCAATTCATGATAATGGGGGAGATAATTGGCTATTATCAGTTTGTAAGGAAAACTTCTGGAATTGGGTAATTTTAGAGAACGATTACTTTCGTAATGATTTTCATTTCGCGTCGACGACCTCATCTAGTGAACGCCTTGCTTGAGTTTTTTTATATTTTTAAGAAGGACGTTTTGGTTCGTAACTTTTTTGTTTTTGATATTATCTTTCATAGATCTGTTGGTTTGATAACATACCTTGATTTTATCCCCATCATCATCATCATCATCATCATCATCATCAACAGCATATAAGTGGCCACTTACGGACCGAAGGCCTCTTCTTACAGAGGGAAGGTTTAAGCATTAATCACCACATTTGCTCAAGCGTTGCTCAAATTATAAGTCCAGGTTTCCTCCCAATGTTGTTCTTCACCGTTTATCAGCGGTGTCTGGATAATTTTAGAAAGTACATATAACTCGGAAAAAGTCACATTGGTACTTTGCGTTGGTAGTTTTCAAACCCGCGCCCTCATGCATAAGAAGCGGGCGTCTTAAACCTCCGGGCCACAAAAGTTGACATTTGTTTTTTCCCAGTATTGGTTAAACAACTCCCCTAGAAAAATGGAATTTAAAAACTAGTCAAACGAGTGAACAGAAAAGTCAATGTATAATTTTGTTTTGCCATATACCTTTGGAAGCTGATCTGTTAATCTTCAAACTAGAAGACATTCAGGACCATGATGATGAAAAATAAATTTCCAAAAAGTACTTAATCATATTATTTGCAGATTAATATCTGCCGAACGGGACCGTGTTATGAGCGTCCGTGAATGATTGGACGACGATAAATCAGGGACGATCCAACGTGATCGGTAAAACGCGCGCCGTGACAAATGATAGGCCGGGCGCTATCGATCTGCCCTCATCACTCGCGAATTGATCTTATGATTGATGGTTTAATAAGGCAGTAACTTAACATTTCGTTGGGTATAGAAAAATGTGTAATCATGTTCTTGTAAATGAATGGGTAAATATATTCTACCTGATAAATCTAAAGAGGTTTTTTCTTCTGAAAACAGGAGGATGGATAGAAAGAGAGGTTACATTTCTTTATTTGACTATACTATTTTATCTATACTATTCCTGTTGTATCCCATGAGAGTATTTAATCGGGAAAAAAATATATATCACTTAGGTGATATAAGTAAGCCCAAACTCTGGATGTATGCCAAATTTCATCAAAATCCGTTCAGTAGTTTCAGCGATCACGCTTAATGTGAATATTTAGATGTTTGTCCGTCAAGCATGACTCATATTCACATTTGTAATATTAGTATGATACGATATTATGTTGCATAGGATTCAGCATTAGCGACACATAATTTTGTAATAGGTATTTTGCATCTGTTCAACTGAAAACCTAGTCATAGTTTGTCAAACTTGCGATCAGTCTATCAATCTTATCAAATAGATTTATCAAAAAGAACATAACATTTCAACTATTTCAGCTCATTCAAAATCTTTAAACAATGACTTAAAAATAAAGCCTAAAATGCCACAGAAATGAATTTGCTGGAAACGTTGATGCCACTGCGAGTGTTATACCACTTGGCAAACTGCCATTTGAATGTTGCCTTTGATAACTTGGGAAATAACAACTCGATTTAAGTATCGGTCTTACAATGTAGGAAGCAATTTTCCTTGAAAGTGTAAAAATGTCCCGAAGGCTGTCGTTTCATAAGTTGCCGATTCAAGGGACATGTTGGAGGTGGGTGAAACTCGTGTTGATTGCCGTTTTTTTTATATACGCACACATACTTTTTGTATGTCTGTTTCAGTGTGTGTGTAGAACACGTGTTATTGAAGTAGCATGTTTTCCAGTATTTCAACTTTAATAACATCGTAATAGTGATTATAATATGGCTATGAGGGATTCGAAAGAAATGTTTTATCTCTCAGTTATATGTTAGGTATACTACCTCTTAATTTTTTTTGTTGCGTTTGTTTGTTTGTTTAAACGCGCTAATCTCGGGAACTACTGGTCCAAATTGAATAATTCTGCATGTATTGTATAGTCCATTTATCGAGGAAGGATATAGGTTAAACATCACGCTACAATCAATAGGAGCTGAGCAGAGTGAGTTAAAATACACGGTTGTACCTAGTAGGAAATAGGTAACATTTTTTACACGCTTGCAAGCTTCCTACCTACCTACCTACTACTCTTCTACAACACTCTCTTCACTCTTCTCTTAATTTAGTATTTTTGTTAATCATACCTTCACATCTTCGGGACAATTCCAAATGACTAACAAAACCACAGAAACGCTTACACAATAGTATCTTTACAATTGCATAGCTCAACGGATCGCCGAAATTAACCCTCGATCTGCCTCACGACTCGAGGGATCAAAACGTGAGTGATAAATACCTGTTGAAACATGTCAGGGGAGTAGTGTATGACGTTCGCATGATAGAACCTCATTCCCTAGAGGGTACAACCTCCATATTTTATTGAATAGATAAACATAAATTGGTTTTATGTTGAAACGGAATGAAATGTCTAATTTATTGGCTGGCGATGGGAATTGAGTGTGATGTTTCTTTTCTTTTATTCTTTAGGTTTTATTTTTTGTAGGCTTATGGGTAAGATTTATTTTTGGTGGAACTTGTAACTAAATTCCACGTTGTTTTATGAATAGGAGGAAGTAAACGAGATAATGTCGGTAATAACAAAGTTTGCTAGAGTAAAACATTTTTTTTATTGGATAAGCCGGTAAACGGGCAGACGGATCACCTGCTGGTAAGCAATCGGCGTCGCCCATGGACACCCGAAAAACTAGAGGCGTTACCGGTCTTTTGTAATTAGAAATTTTAGGATTATAGGACATTTGGGGATTGGGGAGAGACTGGGGAAGGGGGTAATTGGGCATCCGGTAACCTCATTCACATGATGAAACACAACGCAAGCGTTGGTTCACGTTTGTTTTCTTTGAGGTGAGTGAGGTGACATAATTTCTTTATTTAAATAGCAACTCAAGATGGGACCAGTACTTCCGTGCTGCAGTACGTGTCAAGTTCGGTTGACAAATTTCCGTATTATCACAGGGCAATACTGAATCTTATTAAGGAATACGAGATTCATAAGTTCTCCAAAGACATTCGAAATATCGAGTATAATTAACATGAATTATTCCCTTTAGCATAATTTCCGAATTAGGCGTCGCAATGTTGGGTTCAAATTGGAGGAATGGAGGTGCAACCCCGTTTCACGGGACCCACAAAATCCGGTGGTATTGGAATATTTTATCAGGTATTATAATGACAAGAGATAAGGTTTGTGTTATGCAAATAACTTTCGTAGAAATACAGCAATAAGATATGTTTTTCAGTGTACCTATAATATTTCTTACAAGTTCTACTGCAACTAGTTCTTTAAAAAACTAATTGTTGCTCTTTCTTGTTCCAATTTCTCTTTTTTGCAACGTTTTTCCGGCCACATTTGAGTCACCTCGGAGTATTAACCAGATTAAACAAAATAATGTAAAAGTATATTTTATAAGGATGTTTTTTATTATCTATTTTATTTTAGGGGCTTTTTGTAGGATAATGTCCAGGTCGCAGTCGAAGTAATGTTACAATATCTAC